GCTGTTGTTGTACCAATCTCTCGTTCATGTATTTGGCAGAGCACATACCGGACATACTGGACACAACATGCAACGTGTTTCGGGAAAAGCATGGGCAAACACAGATACTTCAACTGATTGTTTAATCCTATCATATAGTCTTAGGAGGGGTTGGTCCTGCCACCTCCCCTGTTGGTCTGATTTGACGAGGTCAACGTATCGGAAGAGTCTTCCACTTATAGGAAGGACATTCATGAATTCAGAACTAACAAGTGGTCCATTTTATAGAAAGATTTTGTTGTGCCAAACGAATCATTATTTCCTGATATTGAGTTGAGTGGCCCATATCCCTTATATATTATTTAGGATCCCTTCCAACTTCCGATGTGGGACATTATGTCCTAATAGAAGGCGTATATCATAAGGATTTGAAACAAAAGCTTGGCCAATGAAACGATGGTTAGTTTCTTTTCATAATTTAAGATTCCTTAACTTGTAATCTTCAAAAATTGGGACTAACATGTCTTTCTTTGTTTTTAGATTTTGATGTTTTTGACAGCTGATATGATGGCGACAGTATGAGAGACCTAGATGTTGTGAATGCAGACAAGATCAGTCAGTTTACGCCTGAGGTTCTAATATACTATCTCAGATTCATACGAGAACCACGGTAATTCAATAAAACATTTAAAGTCCAAATTTCACTGAGTAAGAACCATTGGATCATCACTTATTCAATTTAAAAAAATAGCTATAATGACAAAAAAAAAAACATAAAATACAAAGAAGCGTTTGTCCTTTGATCCAAATAAGAGTTTAAAGGCAGGAAAATATTTGATTTATTGTAGTTTATAAAATAGAATATGAAAGAAGTCGGGCTACAAGGTTGGAGTATTAAGTATAAAACCATTTTGGTAAAGATGACAGACCTCATTCTCTGTACTATCCATAGGGTCAATTCTAACAAGTCACTCACTCAAATTCATGAAATATACAATTCAAAAAAAAAAATTGCGGTCAAACTACTAAAGGAGAATAGGCTAAAATTGTTGGACCTACACACTTTACGTTTTTGTATCAAGCTATAATCTAGAACTCTAAGATTCCACTCGGTCTAATTCACTGAATTCCATCCAATATAACAGAAGAATTATAAATCTCTAAAATAATAGATAGGATTACTGCAAATAGAGTCATTGCAACACCCATCAAAGGGTTCGTTCCCCATTTTTGAGCTAATTCACCATATTTTGAATTCAATGGTTTCAATAACTTCCATACAGTAATGCTTCTTTATGACCCAATATGATAGTTTCTTTTATAATGTGTGTTTGAAGTTTGAACCACCATCTAAAAATGATTGAGTAAATGATATCTGTTTTTTTAATTCGAAACACAACATATGCGAAAAAAAATTAGATTTTTATTTATAAAATAAAGTATGTGTTGGTTCGAATATTTTACAAATATTATCCAACAAAGATGAAATAACATTTTTTAATAAAATCTTTAAACTATGTCTAAAATGATTAAAGAAAATAATTTTGGTGAAAAAATCTGAAGAAATAGAAAATTTTGAATATTTCCTTAAAAATGGAGTAATTAAAATCAAACTAGAATTTGTTTTGATTTTAATTATCTTAATTTCTGAATTACCCTTTTTAATTGAAATTAAACATTTTCTAAACATAATTTCAATGGCAACGGGAATACAGAGCTCTCGTACCGTTGGCTCTTGAATTCTTTGCTATACGAAAAGTTTAGTTCAATTTCTTCCGGTTCATTAAAGTTACCGGTTGGCGGTTAATATTCGGTAAACCGGGATAGTTTGACTTGACCAAAGAAGAGCACTAGTTTCGTTCTCCTCTTGATGTTTCGGTTTCTACGAAGCATTTGCAAATCTTGTCGAACTGAAGAAAGCTTAAGACTTTTCACTGGTTATTTGCAGTTTCTTCAAATCTTTGCTTCCAAATGGCCATAGAAACAAGTTTTATACCAACTCTCATTCTCTCTTCTCACTAAAATCCCTAAAATTGGGTCTTGGAGTATATAGGTACATGTCGAAGCTTTACTCATTTTCTTTAGTTTTTGTGGTTACTTTGTGAATTGGGTATCAAACCTTTCTCTGTATTAAACTCCGATGATCGGAGTATCAAAGACGGCGACGAGAGTATATCGGAGATGTAACAGAAGAAACAAACTTTCTTATTAAAGAGAAATCAAATGTTTGTTACCAAACTCAAGGACTAATTACTCTATGATTAAGCTTATATATGCAATCATAAGATAACCAAACCAACATTTAAACCGGAATAAACCAAGACTCTAATACGCCCCTCTCTAGTCTTTATCTTCTAAGTGTCTGGTTTAGGAAGATAAAGACTTGAATGTGACATTCTCTTCAATAAGACATGGAAAGGACCCGGATGAAGTGGTTTTGTGAGTATATCTGCGTGTTGGTTGCCTGTAGGAACGTGCATTGTCTTCAGATTGCCTGCTTTAATCTGATCTCTAACCGTGTGACAATCTATCTCAATATGCTTGGTTCTTTCATGGAAAACAGGATTTGTTGCAATGTGTATAGCTGATTTATTGTCACAAAACAGCTTAGCAGGACTTGTTACCTTGACATGAAGATCCTTTAGCAACTGTTGCAGCCAAATAATCTCACAAGTAGCATAAGCAAGACTTCTATATTCTGATTCTGTGCTGCTTCTACTAACAACATTCTGCTTCCATGATTTCCATGATCTCCTTGTATCTCTACATGTACCCCAGTCAGCATCCGCAAATCCGTTTAAACACAACTCATAATCTGCAGAGTACATTAATCCTTGTCCAGGATTAGCTTTAATGTACCTTAGTACCTTGTGAGCCGCTTGAAGATGAATATCTGTTGGACTAGAGAGGAACTGGCTCAATTGGTGAACTACAAAGGTAATGTCAGGTCTTGTAATCGTCAGATATAGCAATCTACCAATGAGTTCTCTGTATGATGTAGGATTTGAAAGAGGAGTCCCCATGTCTTTTGTGAGATGCAAATTCGGATCCATAGGTATTGAACTAGGCTTGCAGCCTAATAGACCTGCATCTTCCAAAAGATTTTGTGCATACTTCCTCTGACAAACAGAGATGCCAGCAGCTGATCTTGCTATTTCTAGACCGAGGAAAAATCTTGCAGGACTTAAATCCTTTATCTTGAATTCAGATCTCAGCAACTGTTTCAAGTTCTCAACAACAGTATCATCATTGCTTGCTATCATTATATCATCTACATATACTAGCACAACAATGATAGAATCTCCAGGCACTTTGACAAACAAAGTATTATCCGCAGGAGATTGTATGTAGTTAGTCCATAAAGAGATTTGAGGAGTCTACATACCGGATTAGGAGGTAAACTTGTACCCGTAGGAGCTGTATATCCTTGTGGCAAACTCATGAATATTTCTTCATCAAGCTCTTCGTGTAAAAAAGCATTTGACACATCCATTTGAGTTAAACTCCATCCTTTTGCAGCAGCAAGACCAAGTAGAAGTTTCACACTTGTTAGTTTTGCAACAGGGGAGAAAGTATCCATGTAGTCAATGCCTTCTTGTTTTGTAAAACCATGTGCCACTAATCTTTCCTTGTACCTTTCAACAGTACCATCAGGGTTATATTTGATTGTAAATACCCATTTACAACCCACAACATTTTTACCTTCAGGTATTGTCTCAATATCCCATGTATTATTCAACTCAAGAGCTTGTAACTCTTCATTAGCTGCATTTGTCCATTTCTCAGATTTCATGGCCTGTTTAAAAGTCTTTGGTTATGTTTCAAGACTATAGGATAGAATATATGAATTGAAAAGAGGAGTGAGTTTATCATAAGATATAGTAGTAGAAATCGGATAAGGAGTGGTGTGTTTAGGTAAGACTGGTTTAGTAACAGGAATAGTGTTTTGAGAGAGTATAGGGGAAGCTGTATTTATAGGTGGTAAAGTAGTATAAGAAGTATTAGTGTTTGGAGATAGTATAGAAGAAGTAAAAGGTGCTAAAGCACAATGATACTCAGATAAGTAAGTAGGTGCTTTAGTTTTCCGTTTAGGCCTAGCAACATTTACAGTCTCAACACCAGTATCATGTGTTCCTATATTATGATCTGTAATGGTGGTACTAGAGTCCCTATGTCGTGTATCAATAGAAGATGATGCAGGTGCAGGTGATGATGATGCAGGCGATGATGATGATGCAGGAGGAATAGCAGTCAAATCATCAACAATAGGGAATGAATCAACAAAATGCAAAGGAGCAGGTAATGGTAAAATAGAATTGGGAAACATGTCTACTGCTTTTGACAGTAATGCATCAGTCTTAAAAGGAAATTGATTCTCATGAAAAACAATATTTCTTGAAATCGAAATTGAATGAGATTCTAAATCCAGAACCTTGTATCCTTTAAAACCTGATGGATAACCAAGAAAAACACATGGTTTTGCTCTTGGTGAAAATTTATGTCTATCAGAAACATTAGTCGACACATAACACAAACAACCAAAGTTCTTCAACATGCTATAATCCGGTTGTTTTTGTAAAAGTAATTCAAATGGTGATTTATTTGCTAACAATGGAGAAGGCATGAGATTGATCAAAAAGACAGCAGTTAACCCACAGTCACTCCAGTATTGTAAAGGTATATTTGATTGAAAAAGAAGTGATCTAGCAACATTAAGCAAGTGTTGATGCTTTCTCTCAACCACAGAGTTCTGTTGAAGAGTATAAGCACAAGAAAAGAAATGCATCATGCCTTGTTCTTTTATAATATCAGTAAAGGTTAATTCAGGAGCATTGTCTGTCCTAATAGACTTGATTTTAGAATTGTATTGAGTAGAAACCAAGTTTAAAAATGCAGGAAAAACAGTAGAAACATCTCTTTTATTTTTCAACATATAAACCCAAGTAACTCTTGTACAATCATCAACAATAGTAAGAAAGTATTTAAAACCTTCAACAGATTCTACACTGAAAGGACCCCAAACATCTAAATGCACTAAATCAAAAGGATTTGGTGACAAAATATTATGAGACACATAAGCTAACCTTTTCTGTTTTGCTAAAGGACATATTGAACATTGTGAAACATCAGATGAAATACTTTTTAAAGAAGGAATGACACTAACAAGTTTTTGTAAAGCTGCGGTTGATGGATGACCAAGGCGTTGGTGCCAAAGAATTCCATCAGCCAAAACAGAACCAGAAAAAGAAGAACATGATGCAGGAAGAGATGCTGAGAGGGATGGCTTCTCTATATCCAAAATGTATAAATTGTTGAAAAGTTTACCCCTCCCAATCATCAAGCCCCAAGAAAGTTCCTGAATGAAACAACAATTAGGAAAGAGGTGAGCAGAACAAAACAAAGTTTTGACTAAACAACTGACACTTATCAAATTGAATTTAAAATCAGGCACATGCAACACATTATGCAAGATTAATGTTTGAGTGATGCAAATGGTGCCAGTGTGTGTTATAGGAACTCTAGTGCCATTAGGTAAAGTCACAGTTACACTAGATACTGGTATTAAGTCCCTAAACATTGCTAAATCTGAACACACATGGCTAGAAGCACCACTGTCTATTATCCAAGCATCAGGTGAAAGAATTTTCTGTAAAGAAGAAAGAGTATAGTTTTGAAAAGTGAGATTATTATTCTCATACTTAAGACTAGTAGAAGGAAATGAAACAGTACCAGAGGTAGAAGTTTGAGCCATCAAACCGAGTTCAGTAATTGTTGCAGTAGTACCAGAAGTACTTGAAGAAGTCACAGGCTCTTGTGCTGGTACTTGAGCTTGAAACTGTGAAAGAAAATGCTGGAGTTGTTGTGGAGTAAGATCTTGTATGTTGAATGTATTTCCACCATCAGTAACTTGTGGAACATTCTGTGAAACCATATAGGGATACGTCTGAAAACCAGCTCCAGTGGAATAAGGAATTGACTCTGTGTAGATATTAGCAACAACATTCGTCGGAGCCATTTGCATTTGCATTCTTGGCTGAGATGACATCATCCTAGGCCTTGGCTGAGATGACATCATCCTAGGCTGAAACTGAGGAGTTTGAGTCTGCATTCTAGGTTGAAACTGAGGATTCTGCATCTGCATATTAGTGTTCCTGTAGTTAAAACCAGAAGCATTGACTTTATAGCCTGGAGGATATCCAATTATCTTGTAACATTTCTGCACTGTATGTCCAACTTTCCCACAATTAGTACACACTGGTCTCTGAGCTGATCTCATCGTATTATAAGCAGCAATATATGCATTCTCTGCATCAACATCTGTAGTTGCCTGAAAAACCACACTATCCACTCTAGAAGAAGGCTTGATTGATTTCTATCTCTCATCTTGAGTTAACATATTGAATGCCTCTTCAATATTTGGGATAGGCTTTAACATCAAGATATGTCTACGAATCTGATCATAACTTTCATTCAACCCCATCAAAAACTTAGTAACACGACTTCGTTGCTGTAAATTCTCCCATTTAACAGCCGCTTCACATTCACACTTACCACAAGTACAAACCGGAAGATCAACATAGTTCTTATGTTCTTCCTAGAGAGTCATCAATTCAGTATAGTAAGTAGAAATATCCATAGATCCCTGTTCAAGCTTACTAAGACGCTGCTCTATATCAAACACACGTGGTGCATCATCTTGCTTGAATCTTGAAAGCAAATTACGCCATATACCTTCAGCAGTACTGATGAAAAGTAAAGTTTGTCCAATCTTCTTAGAAACAGAGTTTATCAACCACGTTGCCACAATATCATTACACCTAGACCAAGCACCATAATCTCTATGATCTATAGGCGGTTTCTTTAAAGTTCCATCTATAAATCCTAGTTTATTCCTCACATTTAAAGCCATCCACAAAGATCTTCTCCAAGAATGAAACTCAGAAACTTGAGTAAGTCTATCAGAACCAAGAATAAGACCTGCGTGATCATTGCTGTGAAGAAAGAATGGATTCTCATACCGATCCACCTGATAGTGAGTCTACTGATCATGATTAGGTCTAATCGTTGAAGCATTCACCGGATTATCCGTCGAAGATGGAGGTACATAAGATCCCATTCTCAGAGTAAGAAATGAGAAATTACAAAGAAATGTGTGACGAAATTAGGTATAGAAACAAGAAATTCGTCAACACAAAGGTCAAAAACAAAGAGAAACAAAGAAATCAGAATGGAAAACGAAGAACAATTCCGGCGAACAGCTCAAAGAAGCTCAAAAAGAAAAAGTAGAATCGTTGAAGAAAATCAATCGGAAAACTCATCGCCGATAAAAGAAGAATGCGGAAGAACAATTAGTTAGCTCTGATACCATATTAAACTCCGATGATTGGAGTATCAAAGACGGCGACGAGAGTATATCGGAGATGTAACAGAAGAAACAAACTTTCTTATTAAAGAGAAATCAAATGTTTGTTACCAAACTCAAGGACTAATTACTCTATGATTAAGCTTATATATACAATCATAAGATAACCAAACCAACATTTAAACCGGAATAAACCAAGACTCTAATACTCTGTTAGGTAATCATGTTGTTAGAGAAGATGGATCATGTTAGCAGTCTACCAGACGGTGTTCTTTGTTATATATTGTCCTTCCTTACCACAAAGGAAGCTGCTTTGACTTCGATTCTCTGTAAGAGATGGCGCAATCTGCTTTCGTTTGTCCCTAATCTTGATATTGATGACTCTGTCTTTCTCCGTCCCGAAGAGGGTAAGGAGGATAGGTACGATATTCAACAGAGCTTCATGGAATTTGTTGATAGAGTGTTGGCATTGCAGGGTAATTCTCCCATTAAGAAATTCTCCCTCAAGTTTAGAAATGGCTTTGATTCTTCACACAGATTTGATGGTTGGATAAGTAATGCCTTGGCTCGTGGTGTTTCCGAACTTGATTTGCTAATCATTTTGTATAGAAGAGATTACTTTCTGCTCTCTTCAAAATGTTTCAAGAGCAGGAATCTGGTTACGTTGAAGCTGAACAGTGTTTGTGTTGATTGGTTAGCTGCTGGGGACGTATTCTTACCAATGCTTAAAACTCTAGTTCTTCACTCGGTTAGGTTATGTGTTGATAAGTTTTTTTTTCGTGCTTTGCCTGCGCTTGAGGAATTAGTCTTGTTTGCTGTTAGCTGGGGAGATAAGGATGTCACTGTGTCAAATGCAAGCCTCAAGACCCTGACAATAAATTTCAACTATTGTTTAGGCACTTTTTCGCTTGATACACCTAGTCTTGTTTACTTCTGTTTCTCTGAATATGTTGCTATAGACTACCCCGTAGTTATAATGCAAAACTTATTTGAGGCTAGAATCAGCCTTTTGGTAACTGAAGAGCAAATTGAGCGAGCAAGAGCGGCAAATATCGATTGGGTGGAGGATGATGATGACGATGCTGTTCTCCGATTAGTTAATGTGGAGAAGCTCATGAAAGGCATAAGAAATGTTCAGTATATGAACTTGTCGCCGAATACTCTCGAGGTCAGTTAGCCAAGGTCTTGTTTTGAGACATGTAATGAAAAATTGTCTAATTGTGGTTTGTCTTGTTTTCAGGTACTTTCTCTGTGTTGTGAATCGATGCCAGTGTTCAACAACCTCAAATCGTTAACTCTTAAGAGTCACAAGAGTCGAGGATGGCAAGCAATGCCAGTTCTTCTAAGGAACTGTCCACATCTAGAAACTCTAGTCCTTGAGGTATAGTAACAAGTCATTTACCAAACGTGTACAGAAATAGAGTTCTTATTTTGAATTGAATACCCGAATTGTCTCCTTTATGTTTTCAGGGTCTCTTGCACCATGTCACAGATAAATGCGGGTATGCTTGTGACTGTGTTTCCCAAGAAGACAAAGGTCATTCTCTCACTTCTTGTCCAGTAAAAGTGTTAGAGGTTAAAGGGTTTCGAACAATAAAAGAGATGCACATGATAAAGCATTTCATGAACTATTTTCCTTGTTTGAAGGAGACAAATATTTATATTGAAGAGAATGGTTCTAGACAGCTCAGAGTCCCTCAAGTGTCTGAAGTTATCGCGGAGATGATGGAACACTACGAAAAATCATCCAGTGTCCAGCTCCTAGTTGGTGGTTCCTTTTATAAGAAGTGGACTGCACAAAGTGGACTGCACAATGAAGTCTCTAAAGATTAAAAGTTTCTCATAGTTATGCCAAAGTCTCCTTGAAACTGTTTCAAACTAAACCAATCGGGAAACTGTAGTTTCTTTTCTTCTTCTTCTTTTTCGAATGTTTACAGTCATTTCTGTTGATCGCCATCAATTTTCTTTGAGTTGTTCTTCGTTGAAGCCAAATGAAAAAAGGTACGACACAAGCCTAACTTAGGCTTAGTATCGCAAAACTTAACATGTTCAAGAAACCAAACAAAGTTTCCTATGGCTTGTCTAGATTTTGCCTCTGGAGTTGAACGTTCTTTGAAAATGAAACCGTTTCAATGCTTCGACATCTCCTGGTTTCAAATACGAAAACAAGCCTTCATATCTTGAAAATAGATTGCAGCTGTGTAATGTGACTCAAGTTTTATTAGTAGCTTCGTCGGAAAAACCAGCAAAATTAAGTAGATGTAGTAATCATGTTTTTGCTGTTATCTAGTTGCCCTTGCAGTCAAGTTTGTCAAAGGTGAGGCCTTGGAAAGTGACAATATCGTGGACAAAATCTTATGTGATTTGTTATGCTTTATCACCTTTTAAACTCTTAGACATATAATTTATGAAGATTGAAGATATGACCTATATAGGGTTTTTTTTTTTCTTTTTGGTTTTTATGTTGATTTGTATAACTTTTCTAAGATTTGCATTCTTAGATAAATACTAGTACTACCCTACAATAATCTCAAAAGAGAATAAAAACGGAGACGTGATGGAGGTGATACGGGGACGTTTCCGAAACATTTATAAGAAATAGGAAATTTAACTATTTTCCATTAAAATCCCAAATTAAAAAGGAATAAAAGAGCTTATTCTAGGGTTTTATATTAGATATCGTATCGCCTCTCTTCTTCACCGCCACCTCTTCTCTTCCTGTTTGAGACTTTGACGTTATTTAGCTTTGATGTGAAGTCACTCACGTCTCTCATGTCAACGTTAATCGTTACGTTACTCACCATCACCAAGTCACCACACCAACCTCTTGGACCAGAACGAACAAGTATGTTCGATTTCTTGTCTCTTCATTGTTGCCTACTTGCCTTGTTTGTTCTTTATTGTCGTTTGAGTTGTGATTTGTGAATAGTGAACATGCTCCGATGTTTTATTTATCTGATTTAACTTTACTGATTTTGATTATGCATCTAATGTCGAATTTTTTTGGCGCAGTTTCTGCCAGGCCCTAGAGCGAGAATGAAAATTGATTTGTCATTGAAAGGAAGAAGTGCAATTCGGGGATGTTGTCAATTGGGATTGACGCCAGGGCAAAATAAAATGAAGAAGAAGAAGGTTTGTGGGTTATGGTCGTTGCCAGATGCGGTGGTTGTGAACTGCCTTGCTCAGTTGTCGAGATTGGACTTCGCGGCCTTAGCTATTGCCTCCAAGAATCACCGGTCTCTGGTGGTTTCCCCTGAGCTCAGGGACTTGAGATGGCAGCAGCGTTGCATGGAGCCATCTCTCTACGTATGCTTGCGCATCTTTCCAGAACCAAGCCCACGCTGGTTCATCCTCCACCCCATGCAACGTTGGCTGAAACCGATCCATATGGACTTGTATCAGGCTCCGAAATCAGCCTCCTCTTTTGTAGTGATGGGTTGTGGCATATGTATTATTGGTGGACTCGTAGACGGCAAACCCACTTCCGAAGTCTCGTTTTTCGATTGTTTCGAGCACAGATGGTATCGCATGCCGCCAATGAAGATGGCTCGTGCTTCCGCATCGGCAAGCCTGATGACAGATTCGAAGATATATGTGTTTGGAGGGTGCGGGGATGATGTCGCCAATTCCTCAAACTGGGCAGAGGTGTTCGATGTCGCTACCCTAACTTGGGATTTCTTGTATGTGTTTACGCCCAAGATGCCCCTTAATATCCAACAAAGTGTGGTAATGATAAAAGAGAAGGAGGTTTACGTAGTGGATGAGGATGGTCAAAACTTCTCTTTCTCACCAAGTAAATGTATGTTTGTGGCAAGGGGCAAAACAGATTCTATACCAGGAAACATTTACAGAAACGATTGGTGTGTCATTGGGACATTCTTATTTTGTCGTGGTACCCGCGGAAGAATATTGTGGTGTTTGCCCTATGAGTTGCATTGGAAGGAAGTCAAGGGTTTGGAAGAACTGCAACAGTGGGGATTTGATATCACCAAACTTTGCACCAACCCTGCTGGGAATATTGTTATCTTTTGGAAACCGCATCCTCTGAGTTTGGAGCTTTGGTCTATCGAGATTTCCATATCCTTGGTGAAACGCAGACGCAATGGACGCGAGATTTTGGGGAAGATTGAATGGTCTGGTGCTGTCTTCAAACTTGATCCTCTCATAGACTCATCATATAGCTTAAAGGTCTTAAGTGCAGATTATGTCCTTGCTTGAAATATTTAAGTGTTTAAACTATTTATTTATTCATATATCTCTAGCTTTATACTCTTGTGTTCCTCTCGTTTGGCAAAGTAAATTCTGATATCTACATAGATTTTAACATGTTATTTGATATTTCTCAAAGGGTAAACTAAAAAATGTCATTACCTAGTTCTTATAAAATCCAGTTCGTTAAAGGCATTCTTAATATCTCGGTCAATTCGGAGGATGTACCCCTAAATTTCCTTAAACCCTTATACAAATATTTGATCCTAGGTTTTTGCATCCACAATATATAATCCATATCGAAACATATTTGAATATTTGTTGATTATTCTGATAATAGAAAATACAAATAAAATGATGATTTACTTAGTAATGAGTAAATTGGTGTCATCGGATACAAAAGAGTCATGAGATTCAAATCCCGGAAAGCAACAACAATGGCCGGTCGTTTTGCCAACATATTTTTGACAGAACCCTCCTAGTTTATATCCTTTAAATCTACAAAGTTCATTGCAAGTCATATCGTTTGAACATACTGATCCTTGTATACATGGTGTGCCTTTGACTGCATAAACAAAGACATTAACAAGACTTAAGAACAAAACTGTGCATGTTTATGTTTCTGATTCCAAATCGCTGAATTTTGGTATTATTTTTACATTAATAACTATACAAATTTTAAAGTTTTTTTTTTTTTTTTAGGTTAAACTCTTAGCGATGCCATAATCTATACCGTAAACTCTTAAAGTATTATTTTGTGTACGTCGATAGAAGAATCCCAATTTTTTCAAAGAAAATCTCCGACTACGCCTCCAAGTCTCTGACCATAATCTATACCGTAGACAAAAAATATTTGCATTTAAGATAATTTAACCCTGAATATAAATGTTTTACCTGAAAATGAGGACGGAAGGATGAGAGCAAACAAAATCAACGAAAGTAATAGAACATGTGAAAACTTCTCGATGGCCATTGTTTATGTTGCTAGACACAACAACAAATGTTTGTAAGAATATTCTGGAGAAACAAAAAAAAGAAGTATAAGGTTTAAACTAGAACGTTAAAAAACAATTTCATGTCTAATAAGCATACTAATAGTAACTATAGATCAAATCTAATATTCTTACAAACATTTGGAAAAAAAGTTCCATGTCTTTCAGAAAACTTCTTTTGAAATTAAACATATTTACAACTCAATTTACCTTTCCTCTTTTTGATATTGGGAACTGACTATCTTAGTTTTGTCTATGGTTTTTCTATATATATATATATATATATAATATTTTAATTTATAGTTTTATTTGGTTATGTAAACAATGTGATTTGGTCAAAAGGGTTTTTAATTAACTTATGCTGATTGTGTTTAATTGATTTTGCTGACCATCTGAAGAGGATATAAAAAACTTTCCCGTTTAGATAAATAATTTTGCTGACCACAATTGTATTACACTTGGTGTTAAATGTTGAAAGTATTTACTTTAATTGTTTGGCTTTAACTAAGAAACAAAATAACATCATACCCCTATTCAAATTTCTTTTTTATTGGATCTTGCAAGTGATATATAATGGATTTATTAAAATAGGTAAAATCTTTTCTTTTTTCTTTTTTTCAAGTTTATTTGGGTTTTTGGAGATTAATCTTGGTCAAACAATTGATATCACTTACATTTCAAAATCATATTAGGTAAATTAAGTAGCAATGAATCTGTTCAAACTAAAAATTGTTGTGAACTGTGTCTTTCATTAATAGTATAAGGGATATATATACAAGGATAATAGCAGGATACAGAGAATAAGGTAAAACCCTAATGGGCCATGGGCCGGTTATGGAGTCCATCCATATTGTTTATAACACTCCCCCCTTGGAAGACATAACCGTGCCCGATACTAAACCGGGATCTCTATAATGCGCTGGGGAATGTTGCCTCATTAAAACCTTACCAGGAAAACCCAGTGGGACAAAACCATGGTGAAGGAAAAAGAGTACAACACGCATTACTCCCCCTGATTTGAGTATCACTGTAGATCCTTAAGCCCGCGCATCCGATCTGATGAATGAGCTTCCAGAACGTTGAAGTCGGCAATGATTTGGTGAATAGGTCGGTTGAATTCTCACTTGACTGGATCTGTTGAACTTTGACCTGACCGTCCTTCTGTAATTCATGAGTGAAGAAGAACTTGGGCATAATATGCTTCGTTCGATCCCTCTTAGTGTAGCCATCCTTGAGTTGAGCAATACAGGATGCGTTGTCTTCAAATATGATGGTCTTTGATGTAGTAGTAGATGCGCCTTAAGGAAGGCTGCCTACGTACCCTTGGAAAAGATCAAGCCACACATAGTTCCTATTCATTGACCATACCATAATCTGATCTTATGAATATCCTGCATTAGTAAATCAAACTAAACCAAAGCAAACTGGACCTTCTTTGGTTAGATCAGTATAGAATAAACCCAAGTAAACAACGCAGGAAGAATAGACTTTAAAACTTAATCAAACATTCCTTTAAACCTTTCCAGTGCCTTTGGGTTGATCATGAACTAAATTTAGACAGGAGACTCACGGCAAAACAAATGTTTGGTCTAGTGTGTCTAGCCAAATTCATTAGAACTCCTATGGCACTGAGGTATGGCATTTCCGGACTGAATGGATCACTATCCAATTTGAGGCTTCTCACCACCATTGGGCCTGGTCAATGGGCGGGCCTGGTCCTTATTAAATTTCCTTGAGTACTCTTTCAGTGTATGCCATTTGATGCACAAGGATTCCATTATTCATGTACTCAGGTTGTAATCCCAAACAGAACTTAATTATTGCCTAGGTCTTTCATTTGAGATTCTTTCTTTAGATATACTCAACTGTTTGGGCGATTATCCAGAGGTTTAAATCATTCATATACACTGCTATGATTACAAATCCTTTGTTTGCAAACTTCTTGATAAAAATACATGGACTGATCGAATCGTTTTTATAGCCTTCTCTGATGAGATATTCGCTTAACCGGTTATACCACATACGTCCGCTTTGTTTCAGTCCATATAAGGATTTGTCCAGCCTTATGCAGTGCTGTTCTCGAAAATCTTTCTTATCTTTGAGCTCAATACCCTCTGGTAATCTCATATATTATCCAGTGGACTTATATAAATATGCAGGCATTACATCCATTAGCCGCAAATCTTTCTCTTTTATATAGCCAGACTTAGCAAAAATTTAAATGTCTTAGCATCCACCACAGGGGAGTATATCTCCTCTATTTCTGGTCTTTGTGTGAATCCTTGTGCGACAAGCCGTGTCTGATATATCACGCTTTCACTATGTTTATTTCACACTATCACAAAGACTCATTTGTCCCACTGGCTTTACATTGAATGGTGTCCTTTGTATTGGACCAAACACATTCTTCTTCTTAATGATTCTTAGCTCCACGTTTTATGGTCTTGTACCATTTTAATCAATCAGGTCTTTGAGTGCACTCTAGTATAGACGTGGGCTCCTGATCCTCATTCATTTCAGTTGCTACCTTGTGCGCAAATATTTTATCATTTATGTCGACATTTTTTTTCGGTTCCATTGTATTCTAGACATGATATAGTTTATAGAGATCTCTTTACACCTTCAGGACCTTGAGGTTTGGCGTCCCAAACCTCATTGATTGGTACCTTAGGGTTATGTCTATTAGCTGGCCATGTCTATGGTTTCTTGAACCTTCTCGGTTTCCCTTGCACCTTTCTTTGATTTCCGAGGGTTCTTGTCTTTGGAACCTTTTGGGTCTACCACGTTTCTTACGTGTTGTAGCCTCTGTAGCAACTTGATTATGTTCCTTGTGAACATCAATATGTACTGGTGCATTACAAGCTGGTATGTACGATTTTGTTACTCTCTTTGGGTCATTATAGGAATCTTGGCAACTGTTTTAGCTAGCTTTTGCAGATATATAGTCTTTTGGATCTCTGATGGAGTCCGAGGATCTTGCCATGTGAAGGATGTTTGATTCCATGTAAGTTCTTTGACCAGCTTGTTAGTCTCTCCACCTAGTCTTGGGAAAACGATTCATTGAGATGACAATCCTTGTATCTGGCCTTTGGCTCGAGATACTTAATGATGGTGGGAGAATCATTTTTAACGTATATTCCCATCCCCTTTTGAGGTCCCATTATTTGCTCTCTATGGTGGTGCTATGGGTAAATAGGTGACACACCCAAATGTCTTTAGATGGGACGTCATATCTGGCTCCTGACCTGTGAGTAGTTGGGATGGTGAATATCTATGCTCACTAGATGGCCGAATGCGTATTAGTTCAGCAGCGTGTAAAACCGCATGTCCCCAAGCTGAGACCGGAAGCTGCGACCTCATGAGTAATGGTCGAGAAATTAGTTGAATTCGTTTAATGAGGGATTCAGCTAATCCGTTCTGTGTATGGACATGTGCCACAGGATGTTCCACACTTACCCCCATGGCCATACAATAGTCATTAAATGCTTGGGAAGTGAATTCACCAGCATTATCTAAACGTATGGTCTTAAGAGGAAAATCTGGAAAATAGGCTCGCAATCTGATGATTTGGGCCAATAACCTAACAAACGCTTGGTTCCTAGAAGACAATAGGTAAACATGCGACCAGCGGGTCGATGCATCGATTAAAACCATGAAGTACCGAAATGTTCCACAAGGTGGATGGATCGGACCACATATGTCTCCTTGAAGTCGTTCTAGAAAATGTAAGGTCTCTTTAGACACTTTGACTGGTGAAGGTCGAGTGATAAGCTTCCCTTGTGAACAGGCTATGCACGTGTGGTGCTTAGGGAAAACTCGGTTTTCTTTAAGGGTGTGCCCTTTAGAACTTTGAATTAATTTACGCATCATATTCGAACCGGGCTGGCCAAGCCGGTCATGCCATTAGTGAATTTCTCAGTAAACCCTTATTTGTTTACTTTATTAGCCTTTATCATATTGACCTTGGCATAGTAAAGATCTATGACGCGGGTATAGTCTCTAAGACCTTCTCATGGTCTTGGGTGCTCTTAGTAATATATGGGAATCCTTTGTTCCCTTCACCCTTAGTTTCAATGTGAAAACCATTCAAACACATTTCTTTGAAACTCAACAAGCCCCCTTGGGCTAGGTGAATATGAAGCATCTGAGGATGCGTGCCCTTGGGAATATGGGCCTGCCATGGGCCTGCCCTTAGCCTTCACTAAATTTAGCTATACCCGCAATTTGGCTAATGAACCATGTCTTTAGATATTTCGTTTATTGAATTCTCATAATCATCTATCTCATGGTCGAAATCTTCTTCACCATCGTGATGAACTAAATGAGCTTCTTGATTCTTTTCAAACTCTCTTGATAGAGATCAACGAGATGCTTAGGTGTCCTGCACGTCTTAGTCCAATGGTTTCCCCATTACTCATCAGTGGCAAACAAGTTTATTTGAGTGTTGTGGTTTGGGTATACCGCGGCCTACCTCGATTACGACCAAAGTCGGGTCGGTGGCCTTAACCATATGAATGGTTTCCTTGATCATATAAATTATATTTTCCACTTCTACCACGTTCATTCCATTTACCATGACTGTGGCCATGATACTTATCTCTTTGGACGTGGTTAGACTCTTTAGTCTCTTTAGGCTCTTTAGGCTCTTCAGCCCAATGGGCTTCTGATAATGGGTAGGACCAGGAGGTCTCATTTCACTATTTATAACTCATTGTTTTGCTCAGCAAGTAGCATATCAGAATCAATGTTCTCATCACGGTTTCTCCAAAGCCTCACTCCTTAGCACTCTCTACAGAGGAGTCCTCCCCAAAAACAAGAGTTTAGACTTACATATGTGGTAAAAACCTTTTTCACGATATTGTTGCTGAGGCAATATATTGTTTGTGTGAAAGGTCGAGAATGCTTTCTCTAGCAAGTCATTCTCAGTAACTTCCTCATCACGGAATCTCAGTATTGACACTATTTTAAATAGTGCTGAGTT